CGATGTTAAAAATTAAAAAAATTGTTATATTTCCCCGTTTTAATAAAAAAAAATGAGTTTATACAATTTCAGTTATTTGTGGAGGCATACCATAGATTAAAATTTTGTGTTTTAGGCCTAAAAACTCCAGCAATTAAAGCTTCAGAATTAAAAAAAAGTACTATTGTAATATTAGTGTCATATGATTGATCATAAAAATTTATACATTTTGATATATGTTTTGAAAAAATTAGAGTACCAAACTTTAAAAGAGAAGTTTTTACGTTGGGATGACGTCAGCATGACGTCATTTGCACAACAGTCGGCTGTTCGACTGGTTCGTTCTTTTTCTTACCTTTTTTGTTTTCTTTTGGACTATCAACACTCCATCTATATTTATTTTTTAACAAATGGAGCGCCGCATAGAGAGAGGAAAAACCCTAGCGGCAAAAGGCTAATCTTGGGCACACAGTCGAGATCATTTGATCAGTGACCACGGCGGAGCTGAGGTTTTCCACCATGATTGCTGAGCGCTCTACGTTATCACGTCATGTCCTTATTTGCTTCGCTTTTTTGCGTACAGTTTGGTGGGTTTACGGGCAGCTATCATGGCGTTTTGCTCCGGCTCATCTCTGTGGCCGAGTCTGTTTTTTCGTTTCTGGACAGTGGGTTGAGTGGTGATTTCGATATAACTTGTTGTGCTCTATTTGTTTAGTGTGTTGCTTAGTGTTTCATCGTTAATTTTTTTTTCCTCCAATTGGTTTGTGGCTTTTTTCTTTTGAATTTTTGCTTTGCTACTGACGAGCACTTTGTCATAGTGCGTCAAAATAAATCGATACGAACACTTATATGTAGTATAGGTGAAGTAGAGTTCGTATCCACGAGAAAGGAATAATTCTCTTTTTAATAAAACTAGTAAATAAAAGGGGGGGTTTTGGGATTGTTGGAATTAATTTAATTGAACACTAAAATGAACAACTTATACGTGATTTAATTCAAGAATAAAAAGGACTTGGTCTTGCTACTTTCCACTTGTTGATATATTTTAGTCGATCATTGTTATATTTATAACTTATCCCCTCTCGAATACTCAATCGAGGAGTATCTCCAATTCATCGAAGGTAGTTATTAATAACAACCGTTCATTAGTAACCCTTACTATTAGTCAAGTATAGAACACCGCCATATACCGACTTGATAGTAGCATTAATCTCTTAACTCCTTGATGAAATCAATTGAGACTGATAACCTCAACACAACGGTTTCGGTTTAACCAACACAATTAATCCCTCTTAAGTTTATTAACCACGACCGTGCATTAATAAACCGAAGTTACTTACTTGTGAAACCATCAACGATTAACCATCAGTTCGTTGATCGTTTCTAGTAGTAATTAATGTCGAGATGTTAACTAATTGTCATCTTAGCAACATTACCCAACATTAATTAATATAGAGATAGATTAAGGGAAGAATTAATATTCAAGGAAAGAAGTTAAGAAAATAACTCACAACTTTAATAATCAACAAGCTTCAAGAGCAACACCAAGAAATGGAAGTTTAGCTCCTCATTTGGAGACTAAACATGCTATAAAAATATAAAAGAAATGCTATTCTAAGCTGAGCTTAAGAGTTTGGAAGAAAGAGTGAAAATTAGTGAAGGAAAAGTGTGCTATTTATAGGTGTTTTTCAACACCTTTGGCTGGGTACCCGACCAGGATAGTGCCCACCCGACCGAGTACCGGTCAAAATCAAATATTTCTCCACATTCTTGTGTTTCAGCACGTCGTTTTGTCCTGGGTCACATCTGACCTGACCGGGTGAGGTAGAGGACCCAACCGGGTCTGGCAATTTCCTGAGCATCTTCGGTTTTCACTTCTTCCCCGACCGGGTGCAAGGTTCTACCCGGTCGGGTTTTAGCTCACGGGCAGTCAAATATCATTTTTCTTCACTTCAAAGTCCTCCTTTCCAACACCATAATTCCTAAGGATGTTTTTACTTGGACTGTAATTTGTTGGTCTGGTCTGGTCTGGTCTGGTCTGGTCTGGTTTCTTTGTATTTTTATAACTCTCCAAGTCTGGTCTGGTCTGGTCTGATCTGGTCTGGTCTGGTCTGATCTGGTCTGGTCTGGGACAAATTACAGTCCAAGTAAAAACATCCTAACTCTACTTTACAACTTACAAATGAAGATTAAAATAAAATTGCAACTAAAATCACACAAATGTTTACAAACTAAATAAAATTGTAAACAATCCACACAAATCAAACATAAAAACATACAATTATGCACTACTAATTAGTGCATATAAGCTACCATCTTTTTTGGTCATCATGGATATGATCGTCAAGAATTATAGTATGATTTCTACAGATGAGGAAGAGAACATGGGTTTGCTGATCGAAGCAGACCCGGCAAGGAATATTGATGAGATAGATGAGAGAGTTTGCTTTTCGGTTGTGGCCAGAGTCGTCTCGGACAAACCTATATGTGTTGTTTCGTTTCATCAAACAATGGCCATGGTTTGGAGACCAGTTCGGGAAGTCTCTATTGATGAGATAGGTGAATCCACGTTTCTTCTCCAATTTTACCATGAAGTAGATCTTAGCAAAATCATTGAGAAAGGGCCTTGATCCTTTGAACAAAATCGATCTATCTAGTGGTGATTAGGTGAGTGGGGCATACTGATAGCCCCCTTGAAGTCCCGTTGGATCATGCAGACTTTTGGGTTCAAGTGCACAATTTGTCGCTAGGTTACATGACAGACAAGGCAGCTTGTGAGATTGGCAACAATATTGGGTCATTTGTCCAACTAGGTGAACGTTGTATTGGAGGAAAACATGGGTTGGTGTTGCGTATTAGACTTACAATTATTAATATGGGTTTGACTAGGCGTTTGCCGGTTAGACATGAGGGGGATAACTAGATACGGGGGGACTTTTGATATGAGAGACTTCCAAATTTCCGCTTCATGCGTGGGATACTTGGTCAGGCGCATCGGTTCTGCCCTTCTAATCCACATAGTGGTCATTGGATTGGTGAAAAGTCTTATGAGAGATGGTTATGTTACGTGCTGATATGAGGCAGGGAGGTGTGCACCCGTGAAACAGGTGGTTGATTCCTAGCAACAATAGGTCAAGAGACATAAGGGATGATGGAGAGATCTTGGGCTACTCGGGCATAACTATAATTGAGCAGGGAAGCTATGTGGTGGAAGGTCTAATCTCAAAAGGCAAGGAAGATGCTACTACACCGGAAGAACCAAGGTAGCACATGGTCCTTGATCTGGTCAGTGAGGATGGTGTTCAAGCAAACATGGATGTTGATGGAGTGGATCCAAAAAACTTGCAAGTTGTGGTGTGTCTGGAGAGCAGTGCCAGTGATCGGGGATCTTTGTGAAGTGAAACTGGAACCTTTGGTAGGGGCTGGTCAAACCGCTATTTCCGTGCTAGTGATTGGAAAAACTGGATACTGCTTTCCTTATTTTGGTTTGTCTTTTCATAACTCTTCAGTTAGTTTTGCTTATTATTCTAATAGCAGTTGCAGCATTGCTGCTAGTGGAGTCTACCACATCGCGGAATTAGCGAGTTGGGATGCTTTTAAGCACGACTCTAGCTCTGAGTCTCATCCCAATGTAGTCTTTTATGTGGAGACTTTGTATCTGATTCTCGTTATTAATAAGAATTAAGTTAGCTTTTGCCAAAAAAAACACTCTATCTATATTTAAACCTTCCCATCCCCTTTTCCATTTTAATCCCTTTCTTGTCTCCCAATGTATGCAATTAGGAGTCCAAATTTTGGACTCTTAATCTCCTTGTACTACAAACGTCTAATTTTTCATTAACATCTGTACTCGACATATGCGGCACAACATACATTCTTCTAGGTATTTGGATGCTCACAAATTTTAACTTTAATACCTTCTACAATTATTATATTTTACACAACTTTATCATCCACTCTATGCCATTGTCATTTTTACTATTTTAAATAGATAGGAGTTGGTGAATATACACATGTTCAAATCTTCCTTAAAGTTAATTTTATGTATTTATAAAAATTAAACATTTAGCGCTCATCTTGTATATACCTATTATCAAGTAAACAAATTATAAATAGAATATGTGCATGTTTATTATCTCTTCATCATAAAAGAAGACTTCAAATATATGTTCTCGCTTAGCATGTGGTGGCATCTCATAGATCTTACAATTCTAAATCTTAAAGTTCATGTTAATATTGTGTGTTCAAACGAATTAAATGGCCCATATTTATAACAAATTTGGCCCATGTGATTATAATCATCTAGCAGGTTATACTCACCAAATATTAGTGTATAATTTTATTTGTGGTTTGGCAAGTGAGCATAAGCATACCTATAAAACAGTACCTCAATTGCGTTTGAACAATCAAACACTAACAATTTTAATAATCTACATTTAATTATAAATGGTTATGAAGACTATGATGTCCCCCAAAAAAGATTTACAAGTAAAATGAATCAAATGTAAATGGTTCCTCACCTTCGTAGATATCGGATAGTACAAATTATTCTCAAATCAATTTTGGTAAATTGCATATAATGCCTCTTCATTATACTAAATTAAAAGAATCTCAGAATAACAAATAAAATAATGCAAAAGACTATGATATCTAAGAGAAAAGATTTGTAAGTACAATGAATTAAATGTGTATGATTTATCCATATTAGTTAGCACAAAACATTGTGTGAAGTATCAATTGAGCATTAAATGATATGTATTATTCTCTCTACTAAATACATTTCACCCATTTATATAGACTCGACTAGACATGACCAGAAAAAATTGCGCGGGAAAACTGTATCACATATGATTTTCTTTCTTACATTTGTATATATGAGGATATGAGGATGATGTAGCAGATAAAAAGCAATTTCAAATACTGCTTCCTAAATTCAGAGTTTTGAATTTAGGTGTTTAAAATTGTATAGAAAGAGTAATTAAAATTTTAAAACAATATTAGTCAAACTCCTTCTAAACAAATGACCATCAATATCTCAAACGAGTAAACGAGCACATGCTGGCAAGCTCTCGTGGTCGGATCTTTCCTTATATCTCATTGCTTTTCTCTCTGTAAAACCACTATTCGATTCTGGAGATAGAATTGAATCACGACTCTCATTCAGATTCTGGGTCGATTTTTTTTTTTTGCAGTCAAAATTTTTTCAAATTTTCTTCTCTATAAGGAAAATAGAATAATTAATGTCTTCACCGACGCCCGGAGCAGCGCCGGCTCCGACGTCACCACCCGCTCCACCTGCCAATACTTCCTCTCCTCCGCCTGCAGCAAGTGCACCGCCACCTTCTCCACCGGCGTTGGCTCCCCCACCTACCACTCCAACTCCTCCGGCGACTTCTTCTTCTCCGCCCCCACCTTTAACACCAGCTCCTTCCACTTCTCCTCCAGCGCCGGCGACCTCTTCCACTCCGGCCCCTTCCGGTTCTCCCCCATCCACTTCCTCTCCGCCTGCAAGAACCCCATCTCCTCCGACGGGTACAACCCCTTCTCCGCCTCGTCCACCACCGCGATCCACTCCCTCGCCTCCGGTTCCAAGCAGTGGAGGAGGTAGCTCTACGACCCCGTCACCGCCGTCTGATGGCGGATCGTCGGGTATATCAACAGGTTTAGTGGTGGGAATAGCAATTGGAGGCGTGTTGGTGCTGGCAGTTTTGTGTTTGATTTGCGTTTTTTGCAGAAAGAAAAAGAGACGAGATCATGTGCCTGTGGATTACTATACTCAGCAACCTCCCCCTCCTCCTCCTGGGCATAAAGGTGAGAACTTTTTTTCCATTTGTTCCTAAAACTGCTTTCTTAGTAATTAGTTTTCTACTATAAGTATTTAATTTTCGATTAAAGAAATGTATATGCCTCTTCACAGTTCATATTCCATTTTGTATTAACTTTACTCTGTATGCTGTAGAAAGGTTAACTGAGATCTCTAATTTGTTAGGAGTGCTCAAGAAATAGTTTAGATCTAGCAAAATTGACCTCCAAACCCCAACAAGTGGAATATAATTATATAATTGGACTTCACCTTTTTCAACACCATTTTGTAGTGGTTTAGTCTAGGGATGCTTTCAGACCAAACTTAAATGGGCTAGAAAACTTCAGTCGAAGTGAACCCATCATTGGGCTCCGTTTGATTGCTGGAAATTGTTCCTTGTTGATAATATATTTCTGTTGTTCAAAGAGCAACACTGGTTTAGGGAAAAAGGCATGAAAAAGGTTTTCATTACTTAAAGAATCTGGAAATTATCAACCATGAAGTTAAAAAAGTGGTACTGTAGTAGTTATTAGATGGTAAGGTGTAAACTTGAAGCATCATAGATAGATAATTGTTACTGTGATATATTGAAAATACTACTCCGCATGTGTTAAGTCTTTCTCACCCATCAAGACTGATTACAGACTGATATTTGGCTTGCTGAAAAAAATGACCATTCGTATTATTAATACTGAATAGAAATATTTTTTTCCAGCTGATTCATATGGTGTGCCAGCCAATCATAGGCAGCATTATGCACCGCCACCTTCAGATCATGTTGTTACAATTCCTCCAAAGCCCTTCCCTCCTCCAGGGGTATCTCGACCTCCACTTTCTCCTCCTCACCCGGCCCCACCTCACATTAGCAGCAGTGGAGCTTCGTCCAATAACTATTCAGGATCTTCAAATCCACTTCCACCACCATCACCGGAAATGACTATGGGGTTCACAAAGAGCACATTCACTTATGAAGAATTGGAAAGGGCAACTGATGGCTACTCTGATGCCAACCTTCTCGGACAAGGCGGTTTTGGGTATGTGCATAGAGGGGTTCTTCCTAACGGGAAAGAGGTCGCTGTTAAGAGGTTGAAAGCCGGTAGTGGACAGGGCGAAAAGGAATTTCAAGCCGAGGTTGAGATCATTAGCAGAGTGCATCACAAACACCTTGTTTCTTTAGTTGGATATTGCATCGAGGGGTTCCACAGAGTGCTTGTCTACGAATTTGTGCCTAACAACACCCTTGAATTTCACTTACATGGTAAGCTTTTTGTTTACTCTCACATGTTCATATAAGACATTTCTTTCTTTATCTTTTCAGTTTTGCCTCTAATAGGTATTCTATTTGTGTTTATCTTTTAAATGGCTTCATTTGCAAATCATAGTAAACGATGGTACATTTGGAATACCATAATACTACCTATGTCCCACAATGAAGTTTCCAATTTGACTTTCACGTTCTTTAATGGCAATATTTGACCACTATTATTTTCACCTATATACTTATAATAAAAACTATAATCAATATTATTTTAATAGTATATATTAAAAGATATTGTTCAAAAAATGTAATGCTACATAAGTCAAAGTGTGAACTTATGGATGTAGAAGTATTCTTTAAGAACTCAAAGAATAGTAGTTACTTCTTGTGGTTTGTGACATGATCAATTGAACTTCGTAATAGGATCCAGATGAGCATAAAACTGTATAATTCCTACATGACATTCAATTTATTGGTGGCACTTCTTAAAAACACAGGAAAGGGAAGACCTCCATTAGACTGGCCTACAAGACTTAAGGTTGCCTTAGGATCTGCAAAAGGACTGGCTTATTTGCATGAGGACTGTAAGTATTGCTTGCAATATTCTCATTTTTTACAATTGAGGGGTTTGATTTTTGTGTTGAAATTATGTTGTGTTTGAACAATAAAATTATTGTGTAGGTAATCCTAAAATCATTCACCGTGATATCAAGGCTGCCAATATACTCCTCGACTTTAAATTTGAGCCTAAGGTAGTTTGACATTGATGATGTTTAAATATATCAATCATATTTGTCTCTTTAAATGTCTGTAAATTCATATTTGTGTTACACTGCTGATGCATGAATTTTGGTTATCTCAGGTGGCTGATTTTGGACTTGCAAAACTGACTTCTGATGCTAACACTCATGTCTCAACCCGGGTTATGGGCACATTTGGGTATTATTTTTTTTCTATTATATATACTTCACATGTCGAATCATGTTCGCCGACCCCAAGCTCTTTTGGGACTAAGGCTTGGATGTTTCTATTGAGTATATACTTGGTTAAACTATTTTGAATGTTTTTTTTCTGCATATGGGGTTATGATTTTTTCTTTTAATTTCCTCTGACCATCCATAGGTACTTGGCCCCAGAATACGCTTCGTCCGGGAAGCTTAGTGATAAGTCTGATGTATTCTCATTTGGGGTAATGCTTCTTGAGTTAATTACTGGGCGCCGTCCCGTTGACTCTAATCAAGCTTTCATGGATGATAGCTTGGTGGACTGGGTGAGTTGATTTATAATCATAATTAATAAAAAAATTGACATTAATTCAACAGTTTTTCCCAATATCTTAAGCTCTTCCTCTGACTGTGTGTGACTGTGTGTACGTTTTTACAGGCAAGACCTCTACTCACTCGTGCTCTAGAAGAAGGAAACTTTAATACACTTGTAGATCCACGGCTAGAAAATGATTACAACCACAAAGAAGTGTCGCGTGTGATTGCTTGCGCTGCTGCTTGTGTCCGTCATGCTGCCAGGCGTCGACCTAGAATGAGCCAGGTATTAACTTGCTTATCTCTTGGGTTGCATGCCTTATGTCTATTGGTCTAAGTCTAGATTTCTGTAATTGGAAATTCTAGTTATATCTTAAATTAGTATATCATAGCAATCATCAAGGCTCCGTGTGGTGGCCTGATTTATCTTGTTATGCTGTAAATAGCCTTTGACTTGCAAATTTGGCTCAACTGGTATTCCTGAATGCTTTTCATTGTCAGAAAAAAATCAGTGCATTCAGCCATTTCAGCCAAATAACTCGTAAAATATGGGCCCCAATGCTCCATTTGTTAGCCTTGTTTGGCTTACTATGCTAATCAGCATAAGTAGCCTTTGACTTGGTATTTGGCTTAAAAATGGATCATATGGAGGGCTTTCATCAGTTTCAGCCAAATAACCGTACGAGTGCCATACTGCCATATAAAGAAGGTTATGTTCAACTTTTCGAACGGCACTCCTTTCCTGAACAATAATCTCCTTTCTAAAAATTACCGTCTTGGCCACCGAAATTATTTTCTTCCCCAAATTAACCCCATTTTGTCCTATGATTCAGCACCCTTACATCTCGCACCTGACACATTAGAAGTTAGAACACTAATGGTGATTATCTCATGATGTAAATATAAGCAACATAAGCTTGAATATGCTTTTGAATTTAACAGGTTGTGAGGGCTTTAGAAGGAGACATGTCGTTATCCGATCTCAACGAAGGAATCAGGCCGGGGCACAGCTCGGCCTATGGAAGTTCATATGGAAGTTCAGACTATGACACTATGCAATACAATGAAGACATGAAGAAAATGAGAAAGATGGCTCTCGGAAGCCAAGAATATGGTGGTAGCACGGGTCAGTATAGTAACCCGACCAGTGAATATGGGTTAAACCCATCAGGGTCGAGCAGCGAAGGTCAAGAAACGGAGATGAGTTTGAGGACGAACAAAGACAGCAAAGGGTACGGGACATATGGTGGAAGATAATAACAGCTTCTCATTCCATTGGATATGTGTATAAGTTCATTCTACTATAGGCTAACCCTATTCTTTTTCTACTCCTGAATTTTGTGTGAAATATTCTTTTTCCCCCGCCCAATTGTTGTATTTATTATTAATAATTTATTCATTCAAAAGAGATGAGGTGCTTGAGTGTTCATATGAATATATTTGGTTGGTTGTATGTTTGTTCAGACTTCTTACTCAACTTCCTGCTTTAGTTGTTCTTTTTCTTTGTTAGTTTTTAACCATATTTTGACAGTTGGGTTTGAATCAGCTACAGGTGGATGATTAGGAAAAGCCAGCTGTCAATTTCTTCTTTGGGAAACTTTGACTTTACACCATATAGTTTATTCCAGCATTAGATTTGGCAAGTTATTGAGGTAAATCATGGCTGCAAAATTATAAGTATTCAGAATATTGAATACAAAGTCAAATATGGGTGGGAAAGTTATGGTATTTATTCTTTTCTCTTATTCCCTCTATTTAAGGTTGGGTATTTTATTATTTCCACAATAAACAAAAATAAACAAGAAGAACAATTGGCTGGACAACGCGTATTGGCGTACACCTATTCTGATCAAGAATTGATAGTCAAATAAAGTATCTACAATCTCAATTCCTAAACGAAGTACTATTTTTATTTTTACAATCACCTTTGTTTATGTTCTGTCATTTACTATATATCGCCTTAAAATATATTCAAAACATAAAAAATTCCAGAATATATACTTTAAGAAATAGGTCAAGCGGTGGTTTTATATCATATTCATTATACCATAGTATATACTATCAATGGCCACACTTATAAGATTTGTGTTTTGAGGTTAAATTGGGAGAAAATGACGAAATAAGAGTTTTGTGTATGGTCTATAGATCCCTCTTATATGGTATAAATTCACAAAAATTGGAGTTCACGAATCCTAATTTATACTATGTAGTTGTTAATTATTAGATTAGATGAAATTTCAGTTCAATTAAAAACGTCCCAATTAATATTTCCAACAAAAATTAATATCTACCAGTAAAAAATCATTTATTGTGCTGATTCTACTTTTGATCCATCAATGTTTATTAGACATCTCTATTTGTAATTCTTAATTTTTATTTTTCGATTTGTGATCTCATAATCATAAATGTTTTGTCACTTATGGCGCTGATTATATTTTGGTGAAATTCAACCACACGTTTTGTGGAAATTGATCATAAGGATCATGTGACAAAAAATATGGAGTACTACGTATGTAAGAATGAACAAAATAAAAATCTGAGATTAATGCTAATAAGCTTGTTAATTAATTTCGAGGTAAATCCAAGTTCCCTTGGGTTTTTATTTCCAGGTTCACAATATATGTTTACTTACTATTTTATGACAAGAAGCAAGGTGTAAGAACATATATTTAACTCAAAGTGACCAAACCCAACCAACATACGTAGAAGTACGTACTATGCCATATATGAAATTAAACTAACACACTACATATGTATTCTTCTGCGGCAAGGAAGCAGAAGACTTTGACAAAGCGTCTCCAACACCGGAGCAGCAAGTACGAAGTCGCTGGAGTCGTCGCCAGAAATCGCAAAAGGAGATTGACTATTACGGGATATATGTTAATATATTAAGAATATATTATATCAATTAAGGATGATTGCTTTTTGATTAGGAATATATCTCTAGTTGGTAGTTTCCTTCTAGGAATATATGGTTTCCTTTTCTCTTTGCCTTGTACCGATCGGTTTTAGCTATATAATAGCGCCGAGCTTCATAATACGAACATGAGAAAATCTTCTTAAAATTATTCTTGTTATTAGTTTAAACTTGTTATGGTATCAGAGCACTAAAACGAAGCTATGGCTGCCGGCGACAATGATGAAGCCGGAGGTACTGGACAGAGCCGGACAGATCACACCTCTCCATTTTATCTTGGGCCACAAGATAGACCGGGTGGTTTTATCACTCCGGTACGATTAACCGGCGACAATTATGATGCTTGGGCTAACGCGGTGCGGCTGTCCTTGAGAACACGCTGGAAGTACGTGTTCGTTGATGGCACGATTACGGGACCAGTTGCTCCATGGACGCAGGAGGATTGGTTGACAATACAGTCCATGATTGTTTCGTGGCTTCTCAATACAATCTCGCCTGAGGTTAAGTGCACACTTTCTCAATACGAAGACCCTCGTGTACTGTGGAATGACCTCCAGGAGCGTTACTCTACTGTGGACGGTCCGAAGATACACCAGGTGAAGACCGATCTTGCCAAATGCACTCAAACACGCGGGATGAATGTGGGTTCATATTATGCTAAATTAAAAATTCTTTGGGATGAATTAAATAATTATGAACCCATCATCACATGTACGTGTGGAAAGTGCAAATGTGATGTAGCTAAGCAATCATCCTTAATTAATATAATATATTCTTAATATATTAACATATATCCGTCTGTATTAACATTTAAATGTGGCCCGAGCTTTGAGATTTCAAGCTCATCTTCCTTTAACTTTTTGGGGAGAATGCGTTTTAACCGCTGCCCATCTTATTAATCGAACCCCCTCGTCTGTGATTAATTTCAAGACTCCTTATGAAGTACTTTTTGGTCAACCACCATGCTATAAATCCTTGAAAGTTTTTGGATGCCTGTGTTATGCATATAATCTGAGGTCCAGGGGTGACAAATTTGCTAGTAGAAGCCGGAAATGCATTTTTGTTGGCTACGTTTTCGGGAAGAAAGGTTGGAATTTATATTATTTGGAAACTCAAGAATTTTTTGTCTCTCGTGATGTGAAGTTTTTTGAGGACCAGTTCCCGTTTGTTACTCCTCTGGATGAACCCCCACCGGCCGAGACTGACATTTTCTTTGAAGATCCACCGGCCGTACCTACCATGGTTCCAGCTCCACCTTTAGTTACTTTGCCAGACAGTTCTAATGCCGTGGGGACGAATAGTTCCTCTACCGCAAATGCACACGACCAGCCTCTTATTTTAGGTCGGGGACAGAGATTTAAACATCCTTCAGTTCACTTGCAGGATTATGTGACACACACAGTGATTAAAAATAGTCTCATTTCTCCCTCCCCGTCCTCTCCTACTTGTTCAGGTACTCCTTTCCCTATATCACATTATGTTAGTTGTGATAATTTTTCTGCACCACATCGGGTTTTTCTTGCAACAATTTCCTTGAGCACAGAACCTCAGTCTTTTAAGGAAGTTATTTCAAGCCCGGAATGGCGTCAGGCAATGAACTCCGAAATTCAAGCTCTTGAACGAAATGGCACTTGGTCACTTGTCTGGTGTCTCTCTTCCTCCCGGAAAGCGCGCTTTGGGGTGTCGTTGGGTCTATAAATATAAATATCAGTTCGACGACACCGTGGAACGTCTCAAAGCCCGCTTAGTTATTTTCGGGAACCGACAAGTTGCTGGAATTGATTATGATGAAACGTTTGCTCCGGTTGCAAAGATGGTTATTGTGCGAGCTTTTCTTGCAATTGTGGTATGTAAAAATTAGGAACTCCATCAGATGGATGTTCATAACGCCTTTCTTCATGGTGATCTTAATGAAGAGGTGTATATGACACTGCCTCCGGGATATAAGTCCTCTAGTGCTGATCTGATTTGTAAACTTCATAAATCTCTATATGGGTTAAACAAGATCCTCGGTGTTAGTTTGCCAAGCTTGTCACGACCCTCAAAACATATGGGTTTCTTCAGTCCTTCTCGGAGTACTCCTTGTTCACACACACCCGGGGTGATATCCAGCTGAATGTCCTTCAGTCCTTGTTTATGTTGATGATCTTATTATCTCCGGGAACGATTCTGCCGCCATCGGTTCCTTCAAAAGTTATCTCAGTGAATGCTTTCATATGAAAGATCTTGGCATATTAAATTTTTTTTTGGGCATTGAGGTAGCCCAGAGCTCATCAGGCATTTTTCTAACTCAACGTAAATATGTCTTGGACATTATTACCGAGACAGACTTACTAGGGGCAAAACCAGCCTCTTTTCCTATTGAACAAAATCATACTCTCGCTCATGCATCGGGTCCCTTACTTGATGATTCTGAGAAGTATCGTCGCCTGGTGGGTTGTCTCATCTACTTAGCTGTTACTAGACCGGATCTTGCTTATTCCGTTCATATCCTGTCTCAGTTCATGCAAAATCCGCGGGTTGAACATAGGAATGCTGCTCTTCACGTCGTGCGTTACCTCAAAGGATCTCCGCGTCAAGGTATTCTTCTACGTGTTGATATTGATCTTACTCTTACCAGATGGTGTGATTCAGATTGGGCTGCATGTCCTCTTACCCGTAGATCTCTTTCTGGTCGGTTGATCTTCCTTGGACACTCTCCGATTTCATGGAAGACTAAGAAGCAAACTATTGTTGCATGCTCGTCAGCTGAGGCCGAATATCGGTCTATGACAGCCGCTACATGTAAATTAAAATGTCTTAAAGCCCTGTTGCTCAGTTTGGGAGTTCGCCATCCTTAGGCTATCCTTCATATTGCTCGAAATCCCATCTTTCACGAGAGGACTAAGCACATTGAGGTGGATTGTCACATTGTTCGCAATGCAATTCAAGATCATTTGAGTGCTCCCAACTATGTTCCCACTACAATTCAACTGGCATATATTTTTACCAAAGCTATGGGGAAGACTCAATTTCAATTTTTACTACGCAAGTTGGGCATTCTTGACCCCATGCTCCAACTTGAGGGGGTATTACGGACGGATATATGTTAATATATTAAGAATATATTATATTAATTAAGGATGATTTCTTTTTTATTAGGAACATATCTCTAGTTGGTATTTTCCTTCTAGGAATATATATTTTCCTTTTCTCTTTGCCTTGTACCAATCGGTTTTAGCTATATAATAACGCCGAGCTTCATAGAAAATCCTCTTAAAATTATTCTTGTTATTAGTTTAAATTTGTTATTGACGTAAATCTGTGAAGCCGAAAGGAGAGGAGAAACGGGTAATCACCACGCTGAACTACAAAGCTTCCGGCGATGGGCTGTCTCAGCTCTACGCCGGAAAACTGTAGAGGACAACCAGACTTCTCTCTGACTCCATACGGCCTGGTATTTACGAACTCGGGGACGACAAGTCACTGAAGTTGCTTCTTTCTTTAGGTATGCCAGCCGTTGAGTATGATGAAGAAAGGTTCAGACCTTCCAACTGAGATGGGCGTTTGAGGATGATAGGGGGAGGTTCGCACTTCTGCAATACCAGAATGAGAACATATATGTGCGGTGCAGATACCCCACACTACACTTATATTTGAGATCTTGAACCAAGAACACCAGCCAGGGACACCGAAGCGGCTGTTTTTACATAAATGCTGCTTGCGGCTAGCTGTTTTTTAGTTATGACTAATTTTTTGCATTCACGATTGCATTGGACCCGTCCATTTAATTTAAACGTCTATGTATCTATCTCAGCTTCACGGACCTTCTACTCAAGCGACGTGTCCATTTTTTAGGAGATGCGGTCCATTTAAAGATGCTCTTACCCCTACCAATGTCCGAGAGATCTTTAACTCCCAAAGATCCTCATATATGATTTTCCGTGTATTTGTAATTTTATACGTGATTTTTAAAAGATGATTTTCAAGGTTTGTGAGTCAGATGAACTAACATTGAATGTCAATTTATGCGTATGTTTCGTATTAGAGGCGGCACACCTCAAAACCCTAGGCTAAGCCTAGGAACTGTGTGTCAATCCGTGAATTCTTAGGGCGGTGAGATTGCTTTCCCGATCGGAAGCAACGTCCAAGGAAGAGGAAGGGCTGGTCATGGAGGTTGGAGGATGCTTTGATATCAACTCTGGGAGATTCTTGGACCTTGGTAGGGATATGACCCAACTGGAGTCTTCTTCTTCTTTTTTGGTTGTGTTTGTTTTGTTTTGTAGCGGTTCTTTCCCGGGCACTGGCACTCCAGGGTGGTTTGTCTCTCTCAATGTGGGGAATTGTTTTGTTGTGCTGGCCAGGTCAGGGGTTTCTGTCTGTCTTCTTTTGGAGTGCATAGGCATTCATAGAGCTCGTCCTCCTTTAATCACCTCCATGTTAAAAAGATTATTATGAAGACTTTATTTCAATTTTATTTTCCTTTCAGTAGTACTTGTTTTTATTTTTTGAGTATGTTTAGTTTGGATTTTTGCCTTTTTGGAGTATGCTTGATAGGCGGTGTTTCGGATCCGATTTTTGGCTAATTCTATGTCTATTCCTAGAGGACGATCGGATCTGTCATGACTGACTGGATGTTGTCTTATATGGTTACTCAATTTTAATATAAAAAACCGCCCTTTTATTCTCAAAAAAAGGTTAGATTGCTCTTTTATGGGCAGTTATCTCTTTACCTAATTTTAGGGCTTGTAATCATCTCATTTTAAGCATTTTAATACAATTATAAAATCCTTTTACCGGAAGAAGGGCCTTAATGCCTTATTTGATCATTTTCACTAATTTATGTTCCTTCTATTCTAATGTCTTTTCAACACACCTACACCACAAGATTTCTTTTGTAATTATTACCCCCATTGCATTATTTCTTGCTGCATACTATGTATAATCCAACCCACCCTTCTCCTAAACTCATTCACTTCATCTAGCTCTACATTTTACGGAGTACGAACTACGAACTAAGGTTGGTTTTCATCTTCACTTTCTTCCATTGCATTCTACCTTTAAAGTTTGACAACACCTCCTTATCTATGTGCCAATATGTTTTTTCATTTTGTGGTTCAAATTTTTTGTTTCGTATTTCAACTTTACAAATGCTTTACCCTCTTCGTAGATAAGAATTTATGAACATAGAAATTTTTTTCTCCATGGGTCATATTCCTATTCTTTTAGCCTTCTACGTTTTTGTAGTAAAAGTATTTTTTGAATTCAGCTTTTATTAGGGTCTGGCTCAACAAAAGTAGACTTTAAAAATTTGGTTTTTATCCTGCCTTAATTTCTTTTAATTTCTTTTAAAAAAAATGTGTAGGACCTACATTCCTTTTAAGTCTTAATTTCGTTTAATTTTAATTTTATATATCATTTGAACCCATTTTTTTATCTACTTTTATACTTCAAATCATGTGTATATGGACTTTATCACAGACCTAAGTCTATAATTGATTTCTATCTATCTCGTCTTTTTCATTTTTTTCAGTACAACTTTCTCTCTATAAATATATAAACAAATTGAGAACAATCATATAATCAGTCTTTTCAATCAAATAAAAATTACTTAATTTAAAGTTATATATACTCACTCTGTCTTTAAATAATGTTTTTTATTCAAACACATAGACAATAACAGGATTTTATTAATTTTGTTATGGTTATTTGTTCGGATAGGTGGTTGCAGGTGAACTTTTTCGCCTTTTATACATCCGTTTGACACTAGGACATTGAAATATATAAATGTTATTTTTATTCTTAAAACAACATCCCGAGCCAAGTGTGCTTATACCAGTTTGCCTTGTCTATTCATATTACATTGTTTTATGGGAAGCACTTATGATTTATTTACTCATGGAGATGTATGATTTATTTATTCACGGAAATATGAAGGACGAGATCAGACAATTAAGGGACCAAAATAACAAACTTAAGATATTATCGATTGAAAAAAAATCATTGGTAATTCTATGGTACATTTTTATATTTAAATTGCAATCTTTAAACATTTACGATTTTGACTTGCGAGTGACAAGTTTTCTGAAAATAAAAACATTAATTTTTTGTGCCATTTTGGGAAATTAGGTAAAGATATGATATCTGAGATTTTTCTAATTGGATCTAAGTCACGCATGTGAATAAATTAAAAGCTGAATTTGTCGAACCAATGAAACTTTAAAAAAAAAAGGGGATAAGGGTCAGATAGGGCATCGAACTTGGAAAAAAATGTCAAATAAGGTCATATTTAGGATGCTATGTCCGGCTGACGCCATTTGGGACGGTTCCCGTTGGAATTTTTTGATGAAATTTTTTGAGAATCTTATTCATTAAGTCTAGTTTACTCATATCAAATTTGAACTAACAATTCAATCGGGAAGGCATTCAAATGAATTCTTGAAGATAACTGCGCTTTTAACTGCACAGTTATCTTCAATAATTCATTTGAATGCAAAGTTTTAGTTCAAATTTGATATGAGTAAACTAGACTTAATGAATAAGATTCTCAAAAAAATTCATCAAAAAATTCCACCGGGAACTGCCCCAAATGGCGTCGGCCGGACAGAGCATCCTAAATATGGCCTTATTTGACATTTTTTTCAAGTTCGAGGCCCTATCTGACCCTTATCCCCCAAAAAAAAAGACATTGTGAAAATAGCAAGTTAACTATCAGAGTTTGCTTAGGTTTCAACCAACAACAATATCATTAATTTAACTAAATATTTATAAACAACTATGAATTAAAAGAATTGCTGAACTAATAAATAAAAGAGGACTGGGGAATACCGGAACTACGGAAGGTCGGAATGTGAAAATTGAGAAGGGCCGATTGGCCGCCGAAGGGTGAGTAGGGCCTCCGGTCCAAAATGTTCTGCGCTGTTTAACTTCGCAGTTATCTTCAAAAAATCATTTGACTGCCTTTCCGGTTGAATTTTTAGCTGAAATTTGGTATGAGTAAAGTAAACTTAATGAAGAAGATGCTCAAAAAATTTCATCAAGATATTCCACTGGGAAACGCCCCAATTAGCGACGGCCGGGTAGAACCCCCTATATAAGGGGCTAATCGAACACTTTAAATCAGTTCAAGGGCCTATTTGACCCTTTAGCCTAGTATTAATATATAACTAGTATTCTCACCCGTGCGATGCACGGCCAAAATATTTAACCCAAGTAATATGTAAATGTAAAAATGAAAATAAGACAATTAAAATCTCTAAATAACACACTTTGAAAATTTTGAGAACAAAAAATAACATACAAAATTTAAGGATATTGAAACACTTCTTTATACACAACACTTATTAACTCATTTGTAGTTTTTTTTTTTCATGTCTACAATTAAAATTTTCTATCCTTTCAAGTTTGTAACCCCTGAAAACTGCAGCATAAAATTGTCCAGGATCAAAGACTTGCTTCGACAACAATAATATAACGTGCAGTGAGAAAGAGATTGTCTCTGACTTGATTACCTTGCTTCTTAAATATGGAAGCTAGCTATCTTCCTTTTCAAATCTTAGTAATTCTCGTTTAATCTTCTTAGACGGTTATACCCTATCAAGGAAAAAAATTGAACAACTTATAAGCAAATACTTTGATATATTGATAAAAACTTGAATCTGAAATTAAAAATTAATTTTTTTTGGAAAATTAAGTTAGTAAGAAAATCATTATATGATACTCCCTTCGTATTTTAATGTTTACTACACTTTCTTTTTTGGGATGTATTTAAAAGTTTGCTACACTTCCATTTTTTGTAAGTTTACCCTTTATAAAATACTCAACCACCTTTATTTTTTCTATTTTTTATCTTCGATTTCATATTTATACACATTCTGGTCATACTTTTTCTAGGGTATTCATTACCCCTAATACTCTACTCCTTAAATAATGCGCCATATCAAATGTAGTGAACATTAAAATACGGAGGGAGTACCATTTGTAATAGCAACACCGGTAAAGTGCGAGATCTTTTGGGAGGCTCAAAATGAAAATTATTACCAATTCTACAAAATTTGTAAATCAAATTTGTTAACAAAAAAAACTCATCATCATTTAAAAAAGTTCTAAGAAATGTACTACCTCATTCCATTTATGTGTCATACTTTAATTATAAATAATTATTATTAAAGTGAAATATTGTAGATCACATATTTTTTCCAAAAAAGAATTATGACATCTATTTTGAGATAATTCAAAAAGAAAATTAAAGTAGATAAAATGAGACAGCGCGAGAGAGTAAAATTCATATGTAGTCCTAAATACCTCATCATTCAAAATGTATGGCATAATATCTATTTAGGAATAAAAAACAAAATATATATAGAAGTGTTCATCCAACTAATTTAAAGTAACATATTGTCTATAATTTTTTTTTGGACGATCTGCGAGCTGATAAATTAAAAACTCCAAAAAGCATTCTTGGTCTATAACATAAGGGGCCCATTAGAAATAACCGAACACTATTCATATATAGGAAGTACTTCGTGTCTTCGTATAAATTATACTACGTACTAAGGATCTTGCCCAGGTTTCTCCAGCCAACATACTCAGCCCTTTTGTCTTCTAACTTCGAGCATCTTCTGTGTCAACCGATCGGCAACACAGCTCGCTACAAAAAAAACATATGGCTTCAAATTCATGTAGACATCTAGGATAAAGTTTCTGCAGACCTCCCACCCTTTAGGGTGATTGACGAAACAGGGTAGGATCTTTGCAGACCATTCCAAATGGTGTAGATTCTGGTCTGCAGACCATTCCAAAGACTCAACATATTTGGTGAATATGTTCAATAGATATCTCTGAATTTTTATTAAAAAAGATCGAAGTCAGAGAACATATTTGGTGAATATGTTGAATGGATTTCTATTTAAAAAAAAAAGAAGAAGTCAGTGAACGTATTTGGCGAATATGTTCAACAGTTTTCGATTAAAAAAAATTAAGCAACATATTTGGTGAATATGTTAAACGATTTCCGAAAAAAAAAAAAAGGTTTGAATAGATTTAGTTAACAATGCTTTATTTATTTCTTCCCACATTTCACGAAAATTATACACTACAATCTACTGAAATGAAAATTTATATATTCTGAATTGAAATATTTATTGAAATGATAAGAAACAACTTGTTATTAAAAATTTTAAAAAGTACAATTCCTTCATAAGAAATTATTAAAAACGCTGAAATATTAAAAATACATGAAATCATTGTTGTCCTCTTCTTCTGCTTGGACGCATATCCATCTCATTTTGAAACCTCGTTTCTTGACGACGCCCCACTCGAGAAGTTCGTGATAAATATTTTGGCGGTAAAAGATGGATCCCAATATCAGGCCACTCATTCATATTTGGTAAAGGCATAATATCACCAGCATGTGCATTAATGTAAGAGGTCAGTTTATAGACTTCCGGAATAAGTTGATTGACAGGGCGGTCGAGGAAGTGACACACAGCATGCACGTGGCTGCATGGCATCCAGTTCATCCTCCAGCAGCCACAATCACAGTCGCTCCTTGAAAAATCTACCGTAACCGGAGTTGCATTTTCTATGGCTACTGAGAAAACTCCACTGTGATAATTGTGCGGGATTACAACAGTGTGACGCCTTTGTTGCCATCCATCCATAATCTGCTTCCGGATTTTTTCCGGAAATTGATATCCACTTTGATTCCACATCATACCAGCATTACGTCGTTCTACAAAGAGCTTAACAGATTTATCGAAAGTTGCTCTCACAAGTGCTGTAATCGGAAGCGTTCTACATCCTTTTAGGGCATGGTTAAAACTTTCAGATAGATTGGTCGTTAAAATTCCATAACGACATCCACCATCAAAACAAAGTGCCCACTTCTCTTTAGGAATGGCATCAAGATAGTTTAATGCTCTTTCATTAGCACCCCGTATTTGTTGCATGTAGTTAGTAAATTCATTTAGAATGGGAGTACTTCTGGCACGCCAACACAATTTTTTGAGATTCTTGCTTCGAAATTGGGACATAAAATTACTTCGAATGTGTCGAAGACAATATCGCCTCTGAATTAGAGGTGTTCCCAATTGTGGCACATTCCGGAACGCACAATCAATCGCGACATGTCGGTCAGATATTATGCAAACATTCCGACGCGGAGGAATAATATTTGTCGCAACTAACTGTAAAAACCACGTCCAACTATCCCCGTTTTCGCTATCTACCACCCCAAAAGCTAGAGGAAAGATTTCACGGTTAGCATTCATTGCCACCGCGACCAACAAAGTGCCTTTGTACTTACCGTACAAATGTGTACCATCAATGGAAATGACCGGAAGACAATGATTGAAACCATCAATCGCTGCCTTGATTGACCAAAACGCGTACTTGAATTCATACGTACCTTGTGTATCGGTTTGGTCTGTTCGTAGGTCAACAATGATTCCTGGATTACTAAATGCCATACCTTGTAGAAGTTTTGGGAGATCGTTGTACACTGCCTCCCAATTGCCAAACCGTTTCTCCAATGCCAAGATTCGAGCATACCATGCTTTCTTGTAACCCACGTGGATGTTGAACTTCCGTTGTATGTCATGCATGATTAGCTTTACACTATAATCGGGCTTAACAAAAATCTTGGAGCTTATTTCAGAGGCAATTAACTTACTCGTGAGCAGTTTATCATTCTTACCTCGTGTGTAGTTGGGAATGCAATTGTGTTTCGGTTGATACTGTTTGACTTTCCACTGTGTGGTGTGTTTGATTAGTGATGCTTGAATAAACCACGCACAAGTTTCATGATGAACACACTTTGCTCGCCAATAATCTATGCGTTTCGCCTCATTACGAAAAGTTCGAAATTCTTTGAGGTTTACAAGGGACACATCTTGCTTCAACTCTTCGAATGTATCATATACACGACCCACGTATATGGGTTGTTCTTCACGATATGTGGGTTCAACGAATTCCTCCTCGTCCTCGTCCTCGTCCTCGTTTGGGATATCATCACTGTCTTCAGAACTGCTCTCGTGTTCAGAAAAGGAAAGAGCGTTATAATCAGGATCATCGTCACTATCCGAAACATCATGGGGGACATTGACGTCAATCATCGACTGAGAAGTGCCTTGGTTGGGAGGACGCCTAGAAGTGCGTTGTTGAGATGGATGAACCATTTGCTTCTTTTCGGCATTGATGTATATCTCCACTCGTTCGTATTGATTGCGAGCAAATTGTAGAAAATAGATCCATGATGGGTCGTCATGGATAGGCCACGGCATGGAGGAAACACATATTCGCTCAGAATTATATATGGGAAATTTCCCATGAATGGTTTTCATGTCATAGAAACCATCACGGGACATTTCTTGCATAACGCTCTCACATAGTCTTGCATATGTAGTATCATCACTCAAAAAAGTGCAGCATTTGGATACGTAGAGTAATTGACTTCATTATTATTTTCGGTCAACACCCCATTCCAATGCACAAGAACAACTACGCTACCCTCACTAGACATGTTACACTAATACTTTGTAGAAATAATCGTAGAGAGAAAGAAGTTTGTTTGAGAGTGGTGAAAATGAGTGTGGTGGAGCTCCGTATTTATAGTATAATAGTTGGGTGAGGTGGATGTGGTAGTTGGAACTTGAGATAAATAGAGTAGTTGTGGGGTGTGGTAGTTGAGATTGATAGAGTAGTTGTGGTAAATGAAGTAGATGGGTTGGATGTGGTAGTTGATATTAATAGAGCAGTTGTGGTAAATAAAGTAGATTGGTTGGATGATGTTGTATTTCAGATTAATAGAGTAATTGTGGGTTGTTGAAATAATTAGAATAGATGAGTTGCACAAATATTATTACTCACATATTAAAAAAATATTATTAAACTAATTTTATTAAATGAGGGAGGGATATTATTATGAATATTATGACAATAACATTCATATGATTCAACTTATAATACTACATTGCACAAAGATATTATTATATTAATGTTAATAATATTACAGTAATATAAATATTATAAACTAATATTGTGAGCTCGTCCCTGCACCGCCGGTCGCTCCACTGAGGTGATCATTGCCAAATATGTCAGCCCAACTAAAATTAGGCCACTGCTGATGTTGGGAAATTTCATGTGCGTGATAGGAACTACCAACTGTGGATGGCGGCTCCATGGGTGTATCATGAGATGTATCATCATCATGTAACCCATACCCTGGTCTAGTCTGTTGGCCATGAGCATCGGGCGATGCGTGTCCTTCATCAACATCTTCAAATGTGATGATGTCGTGATCCATTGCTTCTTCTGCACCTATCCGCCTTAGGCAATTCCTGATTCGCTCAATCATCCCACAATCTCGAGGGTCACCTCTGTCAATCATTTCCCGAGCAACCTGGCCCAAACCGTGAGACTGCAATACAAATTTATACAGTTAATAATTTGAATTATTACATTATATGAGAATACCAAACACTTTTAAATAATAACCGCGATAGCAATATGTGGATGAGCTGGAACAAATCCGGTTGTAGGACGGTCTTGTGAGGGGTTGTTAATGTGTGTCTTGCCCATGTAACGAAACCACCCACGATACTCATCAGTGAATCCCCCGCATCTGGTCAGGTCAAACACATATAATGTTTGCCATCGTTGCTCCCATTCTGTAATAAACTCAGCGTTGTTCTCTGGTCTAGTAGCATGGTGACGGTCGTTATGAGTCACGCTCCTAGGTATATCCTGGACTGCACCGAATTGACGACAAAATCTACCAGGATAGTATGCCTCAAAATATGAACAATAAATAAGTGGAGCTTTAGTTGCCCACAGATCAAATGCATGAGTGCAAAAAGCTGGAAGACTAGTAAGCGGGTAAGGTGTCCATTCAAACTGTGCAAAAAAATTGTTCCATATTAGTAAAAAAATATATATAAAAGTATTATATTAAATAAATTTAAATTTTACCTCCGACTCGCTTAATCGGTCAAATTGGTCCCTATAAATGCGAAGAGTGAATCTGCTAGAGTCGGCCCAGTTATGTGCACAAGCCCACCTAAATTTAACGAATTATAAGACAAATCATAAAAACCATAATACAGTACAATGTAATATATTATGTCAATGAAGCTTACCTAGCACCATAGGGCAAATCAAATATTGCATGCAGTGGAAGAACCCGTTGGGGTCGAACCATTGGCAACCTCTCCCATGCCCAAAGTTGTAAAAGGATTAAACATCCTCCAATCGAAGATGTGTCCGCCTTCGCCGCCTCACATAAGTTGTGGTACAGAAATGCCAACACAGCTGAGCCCCAACTCCACCTAGTCAAATTCTCTACATTGTCATGCAACAACTCAAGAAAGTAAAGTGACACTCTACCGGAAGTGCTAGGGAACAACAACCCACTGAGCAACTGCCAAATCAACGTTTTAGTATGTTGAATAACTTCAATGTCAGTGCTCCACGGAGACAACAAAAAGCGTTGAATGGCTAGATTTCTAATGCTGTTGGATGATATTATATCTTTTTCAAATGGTCTGAAATCAAGATAATCATCACACATTTGGACCCATTCAGTCTTACTATGTGCCGTCGGACCAGTAAGTGGGAGACCATCAATCGGTAACCCCAGCAGCACCTGTACATCTTGCAAGGTAATGCCGACCTCGCCAAAAGGTAAATGGAAAGAATGTGTTTCTGGTCTCCACCTCTCAACCAATGCAGTGATAAGACCGTGATCAATTTTGATTTGTACTACTCGTTCAGCTCCTTGAAAGCCTGATGCCCTCAGCAGTTGTACGACTCTAGGATCACGTTCGCCATCGTCTTTGGCGGATTTGGGGTAAGTAATGCACCTCAATTTTAGGTCTCTCGACTCTTCAGTTTTCCACACATTATCGGCACGATGTTCTCCAGGTTTCATTACCAATACAGAACGTTTTATGGGCCCGGGATGGGGGTGCTCTCTCTGTGTAGCCATGAAAACCTAAAAGTATATTATTAAATTAATTCCAAATCAACACTCCTATTTGTAATACTTTGTGCGTAATTACAAATTTAATTAAACAACACTATTTATAATACAAATTATATATGTAATTAAACAACACTACTTATAATACAATTTGTAATACAAATAAATACACCTAATTAAAAAAACAACATATTTCGTTAACTATAGACTAATACTATACATTAATTTTTTGTTAATTATCACAACTTATAGACTAATTTCTACACCAAAATAGGAAAAATTACTACAAACTTTAAACTAAAGGTGGGCAAAATTTTCCAAAAAGGTTAGCATGCATATTACTAAATTTATACATACATATTTGGTTAAGTAACACTAATCTTTCATATTTGGTAAATAAACTAAAATTTCGCAAGTTTCCTATTTCACTTTTTTTGTTTAGGTTCCTAATTCACAATTACAAATTAACACTATTATAGAATAATTTCATTCCTAAATTACTAACTTTAATTATTACCTAAATTAACCATTAAATTGGAAAAACTTAATTACATTATTAATAAATTTGGAGAAGGAGTTGGCCTAAAGTAACATAACGTTAACTAATTTGGAGAAGATATAACTTAATGTTAAATTACTTAACGTTAATTAATTTCATTCCTACTTTTATAAAGTAACAAATTAAATTAAACTAAAAATATTAAAGAAGAACTTACTTGGGTTAAGATGAAGGAGATGGCCAAAATTTGGAGAAGTTAGAAGACAGATTGGAACCGTGAGATGGGGTTGTGAGGTGAGGTTTGTGGTGGATTTTATAGAGCAGGTTTGGCAAACATGTTGAGTAATTGACAATCCGAACCACCTTATTCTGACCAATAGGAGCACAGACATATTCACCAAATATGTTGAGAAATATATTAATTTATTACAACAGATTCGTAAATCTGCTCAAATAGATCGAATCAATCCACACCCTTCAGCTGGCGATCCCAGATGGCGATCCGCGCCCCATATTTTTGACCAATAGGAAGACCGACATATTTGGCAAATATGTTGGGAATATCTTATTTTAATGCGATCCAAGCCCTTCGCTTCACGATCCAAGATGGCGATCCGCGTCCACCCCTCTTGACCAATAGGAAGACTGACATATTTGGCAAATATGTCCAGATACATATTTTTTTCTTTTTGCAAATACTGAACATATTTGGCAGATATGTTGAACCACTTCAACCAATAATTCGGTCAAACCTACACCTTTTGGAAACACCTGCAAAGATTCTACCCTGTTCTGTCATTGAAACCATTAAATGTACTGCTGGCTCATCCTTATTTCTTTCCTAGAGATTTTTTTGTGATCTCTAGAGTACAACACATTTAATGGAGTATAAGGCTAGCTGACATGAATATTATTTTTTTAAAGAATGTTATTGTTGTAGTAATGTCTATAAAGTACAATTGCATTTAATGGATGGCACAACGCATAGATACTTCGGATATCAGCACTCTATTGTGATCTGCATAAAAATATCTGTTGGTTTTAACTACGTAGTATTTCTTATCTGATGGATATTGACTCAATGACTCAATTGCAGTATAAATACAGTCTCACTTTGATGAATAGCACATCCCACAATCACACGACATACAACAATGGTAGAAAATAGAACAGGGCATTCTTTCATCAGAGATATTTACCCAGTCTAGACGGGGATAAAGGCTTTAAGTGGTGTTAAGTGGTAGAAAATAGAACAGGGCATTCTTTCATCAGAGGTAGTATAATACTACTGATTTTACCATTGTTGATTTTGCAGGGTGACAAAATTCATGTAGTAAGAAGGCCGCAGTTGGGGATGTTCAGATCATTGATACATGATCAATTACAACCCATGCCTACATTCTGGAGTTATCACCAAAACAGCTATAAAACAAATCAAGCCTGACCTGGTTCGCAACCCTGTCTTTGAGTTTCAGCAGTTCAAAGTAATACAGTTCCTAAGGGTGGTTGATGACAAAGTAATGGGTAAAATTAATTATTTTACTGTTTTTTATATCTTCATTTATTTTTGTTCATTATATATCTTCATTTTATCTGGGTAGATGTAACTGACTCTTCAAGACCCAGTATCTTTTAAAGTTATAGAAGTATGTGAAGAATATACTTCAATGGGAAACCAGAAAGGCTGATGGAACTGACTCTTCAAGACCCAGTATCTTTTAAAGTTATAGAAGTATATGAAGAATATATTATAACACATAGATATATGAAGAATACGTGGTATATATGAAACATATATTTCAAATTGTACTAAAGTCATTGTTTTCGATAAGAGAAAGTTGATCAGTTTTTTCAAAAGAGTCAATAACAGTGAGAGTTCATTGAAATGGGAAACACTGATCTTCAGAAACTTTCAGTAAAATGGAGAAGGCAATGACTTCTCTTATTACCCATTAGAAGTAGGGATGGCAATGGGGCGGGGTTGGGGCGGGGGTTCACAGCCCCATCCCCCGCCCCGTGTCTAAAAAATCGCCCCCACCCCGCCCCATCCCCCACCACTATTTGACCCGCCCCATCCCCGCCCCAACCCGCTAGACCCACGGGTACCCAACGGGGGAAATATTCATCAAAAAATAACACCGTTTTAGACCCTGACCGTTTTTCAAAAATTAAACAACACTTTTGGTAGCCAAAAAATCTTTTAGGTTTTAAGTGTCAATGTAATAATCTTATATCTCATTTCAAATCTAGAACACATTATACGCGTTTTGATTTAGTCATTTTATCAAACACTTTATTAGCATTGCTTAGCTCTATAATATTTTCTTAAACCCTACGTTCAATCAACCACGATCATTTGACAGCATCTAGGACGACCTATGGTCCCCATATTTTTAAGAGCCCTAACTAAAATCATAAAGATGGAATTCATAAGAAAAGAATCAATGCATAGTAATAGTAAAAGAAGAAAACATTCACAATGTGTCTGAGGCGTTAAAGCTAATATCACTTCAAAACCTTGCCAAATTCATTTTACTTTATGATATTGATAACCAATTTTACAAGATAGCTGAGTTATTAAACAAGAATTAGAAAGATCCATTAGGCACAACCAATGTTCTAAAAGGCGCTAGGCGCTAGTCGGGCGCCAGCCCAGCGCCTAGCGCCTAGGCGGCTAGGCGGGCGCCTAGGCGGGGACTAGTCGGAGACATAGAAATTGCATTTTTATCTATATTTTTGCATAAATATGATAAGTAATATTGTATTTTTGTTTGTATACAAAAATACAATACATATATACATATTCATTAACAAACATGAATGATAGAATTATCACATTTAATCATACGTAGTATATGATAGCTAATTACTTAACTTCATTATGTTATAAATATAAATAATGATAAAATTTAGGCATACATACAAACATATATAGTTTTATCTTAATTTACAACTTCATTTCTTTATATTCATGGCTAAAGTTAAAGTATGTATATCACTTAAAAAGTTAAAATTAAAAAGTAAAGTAATGTTCGGCGAATCTAAACGGCCTAGGCGGTCGATTAGGCGCTCTAGACGGGCAACTATGCGTCATAGGCCCACTAATTCACCTAGACGGCAAAACAATTAGTCGGAGCGCCTAGACGAAAATCGAGGCGCCCGACCACCGCCTTGCACCTAGGCGGGGACTAGTCGGGCGCCTAGAACGATTTTTAGAACAGAGGGCACAACACATTAGATAGGAAACTACTAAACCCACCGGGCCACCATGTTTTTTAATTACCTCGTATTAGTATTATTATTGTGATTATTATTATTATTAATTATTAATATGTGTATATATATATACGGGGGACGGGGAGGGGGCGGTGCGGGGGGTGCGTAACCCATCACCCGCCCCATATTTAAGCGGGGAGAAAATAACTCCCCCATCCCCATACCCGCCCCACCCCACCACCCGCCCCAACTCCCCCCCACGGGGCGGTTCCCCACGGGTCCCCACCCCCATTGCCATCCTTAATTAGAAGATCCTTTAAAGTTTTTTATTTTTTAAAGGAAAAAGTTTATTACCACATTGATTTCAAAATCGTAAGGAAAAGCTGCCATATATGTTAGGGGTTCATCCTAAAGAGAAAGTTGATCAGTTTTTACACACAATTTTTTACAAGTCTTCATCAACTACGTCATGTTTTAAGTATATCCTGTGAGATATTTTTATATCTATATACAGTGCATTATTTCCAGGCAAGGGTAAACACCCGAAACCTATACCGATGTATGAACTACATTTATGCTTTCTGACGATTAAAAGTTCTATTTGAGGTGGCCTTGTCAAAGAATCATAAAATCATATAAGAATAAATAAATTAAATTCATAACTCTGGGTTATCTTTTAAAATCAGATTACATGCATATGTTACCATTAATCCAAACCAGGTTATGCATAGTTTAAATTGTACTTATGAGACATAGATTATAGTTGAATATCAACCTATCAGTAAACACACCTTTACAAAAAAATTCAGCTTTAATAAAATTATTCACATTTAGGGCGTTTAAAACAACTTTAAGCAGTTTAGAATCTATTACTTCAAAATTTGATACACTTTGGACTTCAAAATTTAAATCCATCCTTCAATATGTCATTGCCGCCATGATTTTTTATATACCACCCAAAATCGTTTATAAACACTAGATGTGGCAAAAGAATTTACACAAATCAAATCACATACATACTGACAAACACTCACAGGTACAAACACTCCATCATACAAACGACGGCGATGATAAGTATACCCAAGTTACGAGAGGATGGTAAGCCATTTCCTGAAATGGTTGGATAAGGAGCCGTTCCCTTTACAGATAGCACTAACGACATGATTCCACCATCGGAGTTGTTGGATAAGGGGTCAAAAATATGGACAATAACAATAGATTTGGGGAGGAATCAAGTCAGAAGGTAAAGAAGGACATTAAGCTGACCTATGCTTCGTGAAGTTACAAGATAAAGCGGTGGTTCTCTGCTGTATACGGATGGATGTCAATGGCTGAAGGGTAAAGGAACTTTATATATGATGTAAAGGGTGTGGTTAGGTTTTGGGAATTGAGTGGGTTTAAATGCTTAAATATTAATTGGGCTGAGTATACGGGCTAATATAAAAAACTGGTCTGGGTTTCTTTTTTACAAAGGCTGTTCAGCCTGTTCTAGACTTTTTTTAAAAGGGACTGGTCTAGACTTTTAGAAAAGGTGAGTTATGTACTACCAAGTATTATTATACTCCGTAGTTCATAATTTTTTTTTTAAATTTAAGTTTCTTATTCATTGGAAACTCAACATATAATTAAGTCGTCTATAGGTTGAATTGTTATAACTTTAGCTATTTTTACATATACTTTTGATTTTGTGACTGTAATGTAGAAGATTTTTTAGCTACTTTTATATATACTTTTTTTTAATTTTATTATTATTTTTCTAATAAAGTATATTTTAAATATAATTTTTCCATATTAATGCAACAACTTCAGTAATAATTTCATCAGGATCAGCCGATTTTCATATTGTCAAACGGGCTCTAAATTGAGCATGATTGTATTCTCTAAAATAAACATATCACTCGGTTTGCAAATGTTTTTTCTTAAAAAAGAACTTTTTTTGAAGTGATTTTGGAAAAATGATTAGTAGTAAAATTGATAGTGTTTGAAAAAAAGTGATTTTGAAAAGTAAAAGTTCGTAGTGTTAGGTAAGTAGAAATTGTAATAGAAAAAGTAAAACAAAAATGTTTTTATGTAATAGAAAAAGTAAGAAGCACTTTTCACACAAAAATCGAGAAGCACTTCTTTAAGTAGAAATTGTCACTTGGAAACACTAATTTTAGCTTTTTAAGTGAAAAGACGAGAAGCGCTTTTTAAGCTATTACAAAGAGTCCCTAATTATACTTATTTTTTAAACTACTTATCCGTGCAACGCACGGGTGCGATTCTAGTTCTGCACTACAGAAATAAGCATGTTATTTGCATGTGTGAACATTGGCCCTGGACACTGAAGCTATATATATACAGATACACAAAGTGGAATACGAATAGGTAAAGATAGCTTCGGAACTCTCAAATACAGTTACTATGCCAAAAAAATAACTAATTTAATAGGTAGTGACAATTAATATAAAACATGCACTGATAAGCGAAAAAATATGTTGAGAATCGTAAAGTTGGAAACGCTGGGCTGTAGCATGTAATGCTTTTTCTAATTCAACGAATTAGAATAGAATTAGAATTGGAGTAATTCAGCATTGTGAACATCCTTATTTGTATTATATTGGCGTTGGAATATTAAAAGGCAGACAAAACATGCACTGAGATATGTAAAACTGGAAACGGCGGCTTCAAAGCATTAAATATTCATCGATCCAGAACGTGTTTTTATCCAGAATTCTCCATAAAGAATGATCTAGTGCAGTACAACAATACGGAATGTCCTAAAATGGTTTTGGCGGGAACTTGTTCCCCAAGAAACCTTTTGTTATTATATTAAGAAGATAGATATTACTATATAAGCCTTCTTGTTTCAAGCAAAGTAAAGGGACCGACGAAAAATGATATTATTGTATTTTTCTTCCTTACTAACTGTATTTTACATATTAGTATTAATATATAATATTACTATATAAGCCTTCTTTTTAATATATATATATATATATATATATATATATGTAATATTATTATACAATACTGATAAATTTTAAAAAAAATTGGGTCCCACAAATCGGGAGGCCATGTTCTAGTAGAACCCATTGAACATGCTAAAGACGGCTCTGCCCCTGACCATCCTCCCCACAGCTTTCGGTTTCCACATCCACGGTCTCCAATTCCGTCTCTTCCATCGGACGACCTCCAACCACCCCAACATTCATAATTGCCGTTGCCACCTCCATAGATCTGTAGTTGCAGATGAAGGAAGAGAATGAGGAGGTGGAGGGATTGCAGACGCAAAAGAGCGGACCAGAAGAAGAATGAGAAGAAAAAGTGAGAAAAAACAGAAAAAAGGAAGAGAGAAAGGGAAAAAAGGAAAGGAAAAGAAAAATAAAAAATTGGAAAACAGTCAAAAATGCCAGCTCGGACGTCCACGTAGTTTTTTAACCGGGTAACCGGTTGACTACCTATTAAAAAGTTGATTTGGTCGTTTTTTGATAGTTAGTGAACTTAATTGACTCGAAAATAGATGGACTCAATTGACTTTTTGTTAAAAGTAGGACCTATTTGACAAACAATAGAGAAAGCTAAAGAAGGACAACGACAAATTAATTTAACTACAAAGATAACTAACGAAAAACATTTAGATAGTAAAGAAGAACAATCAGTGAAAAGAAAGAAAAATCGTAGTAGAAGAATGTTGAAAATAGGAAGAAACCGAACAAAGACAATATGACAGTGACTTCGAAGTGGTGAAGAGAAAGAACATGCTAGAGACTGAATCACTGAAGTGATCGATTTTAGCATGAACGAAAGTGTTAAAATATGAGAAATATATATCTAAGTCACACATTAATTTTAGCATGAGTCAATAAATAGACAATGTGAAGACAATGATAAATATGTAGAAAAATAGTTGGGCTTTGGAAATTGAGCGTAAACAACAACAACAGCAAATACCAATAGAACATATGTAAAGATCAATAAATTCTACGACAGTAAAACTTATTGATAACAACATCTACGAAAGACTTATTCATTAAATCTTGTTCATTGAAGATTCATAAAGTAGAATGTCAAAAACAAAAATACAGGTGGGAATGACACTTCTGAAGTACAAAGTTTCATATCAAGCAAAAAATGTAGAATTGGAAACATTTACGTTAAGATTTAGAAACTAACATAGAATTTCAGTAAGATTTTTTGTTGTGACCACCTTTCGTGCATGGAGAAGAACGCCAATGAGATGGAAGATAACTAATTTACCAACATCATAGAGGCATGAGCGTAGAAGGTATAAAACTTGGTCTCAAAATGCTTTGAGAGAATAGTACGGGTTTTTTTTTTGCCGGATTCCTGCAAGCTAAACAAAACTAAAAGTCTCACACACTTATTGGAAGGTCTCGGACAAAACAAGATTTAATAGGGTGCACTAGTCACGCTATAAATAGTAACTCACTCAAGTGTGAAGTAAATCGTTAAGATGTAACCATATCACGACAGTCCTAATTCCTAAATGTTGACCCACAGTTCCAATGCCATGAACACATATGAACTGCTCTAGACAAAACTCACAACATGAGCGCACTTTGTCTTTGAGATTAACATTAAAACTTCTAGATGTTTTGCTCACCACCTCAAATTCAAATCGAGTAAAGGGAACAACATACACAAGCACACAACATTACAAGTAAGTACAAAGTGAATGTAAAGTATGAAAATAACAGAAGAAGAAAAATGTCATTTAATTTGGAACATACAATTCTCTAAATGCATTTGCATATCGAAGTTTAATGATATTAGCAACTATATCTATTGTGGCTTGATAGTTGGAGACCTTCTTTGACATCACGAAAGCATGTATGGCCAAAATTAAACTTGCTAAACCATAGACAATACATAGACAATAAGTAACCAATGAATAGACAATAAATTATGACAATAACATTATAGCAAATCGGGTAACATAAACAAATATACACTTCACTATTTCCAATAATGAAATTACCTTGAAAGACCTTCGAGAAACTCCGCGATGAGGCGGCATACGTGGTCACAACATCCGATTGTAGAAGCCATGACGTCGAAGAAGTATTCTGATTCCATGGTCGAGTTGACACCGGAGGCATACGGCAAAGGGTTTGAAAGTTCTTGAAATCACAGGTATGAGTAAGCCAAAAGATCCCAGGCCCGGTGTCGCCGTCGAGTGACGCTAAAATCAAGAGGCTGGGGAGGCGGCAGTCACCATTAACAACAACTGTATCAAGGGTATACTTAGTATATTCTCTCATCCCTAACATTCTGCTTGTTTCCTCTTTTTTAAAAGATTTAGATCTATTTTAACATCTGATCTGCATTTAATATTATATATTACGTAGTACGTTTTAATCATTTTCAAACTTATACGTTTTGACTTTAAAGAAAATGAAGTGAACGTAGAATATATATATGAAATAATGACGGGAATAATACCTATGACTTTCTAATGAACAAAAATAAGACCTATTCTGAATTTGGACAATAAAGAGACTCAATATTAGTTAGTGACTAAATTACCCTATCTTCTTTTCCGCATCTGCTACGCTTTTCCTGCGCTACTTCGTCCTTGTATTCTGCATGTGCTACATCCCAGGAAGTGCACAACAAATCCTTCGCCCCATGCACACATAATCATCTCCGCCTCCAAACTTTGCCTCCACAACAAATCCTTCTCCCCTGAATTTATGCACACCGATGGCAGTTGTTCGACCTCTATCATATACGCCGCCACAGGTCCCTCCGAGCCTCTCCTTGCCTCACTTTCTCCTTCTTTTTTCTGGTCGTGCGCTACCTCATCGCTCTAGGCAAGAGCGGCGGTGGCGGCTTGTGGTAGTGGCTACTCGTGGTCACTATCAGGCTCCTTAACTATAAATAGTTAGTCCGAGTAAGTGTAATTGGTCGGGTTGTTTAATTGTATCTGGTTGGTCTGAGTAACTGTAGCTGGTAGGTTCGACGAACTGATATTGATCAGATCGGGTAAATGTAATTGATTTGGTTGGTTAATTATAACTAGTCGGATCAGGTAATTGTAATTGGTCGTGTCAAATAATTGTAACTTACGGACGAGTAACTGTAACTGGTCAAGCGGGTAACTATCACTGGTTGGGTGGGGTAACCGTAACTAGTAGGGGTCAAATAACTGTAAATTGTAACCGAATAACTTTCGGGGAGGGGTATAAAAGTTAACATCTCTTGAGAAGTGGGAAATGACTAAGAGCCGTAGGAGGAAAGATATGTGGGAATTGGGGTATGTGTGTATTGCCTCTCTCACGTTGAAAAGTTTTCACTTTCTTCATTTGGATGTTCCATTTAAAAGTTATTATTCCATTTTAAGAAATAATTTACTCTCTTTAATTACATTTTTACTTAAATTTTTCTTTCCTACTCATTACATGTTATGATTCACAATTTCCCCTCCCTCAACTTATATCCCTTTAATTAGTTTGATTTTATTTGTTTACTTTTTCTATAAAAAAAACCTTTCCTCTTCTTTTATCTAAATTACTTTATTTAACAATTTTCCTAAAAAATCGTGTCATTTATGTACAGAAACATTTCTGTGGTTACTTGAAATTTTCATCCCAATTTTTTTTTGAAATGATACTACCGGATGATCTCTTTTTGGGGGGGAATTACTAAAAGATATCATATGGTTGTCGAAATCCTTTAAATTAGTAACATAATTCCATTACGTAATACGAAGTAATATATTCATGGCCTAAATCCGACTTGCCTAGACTTGTAAGAACAGAAGAAAGAGAAAAAACACGAAATGACGTGGAAAACTTTGGTGCGGCAAAAAAATCCCCTGCTAATCGTCTAGTGGTAGAACAGCGTGAACTTGCGGATTGAGGAAAGAGGAAATTGTGGATAAGATTGCCCTCAGCTAATCCCATGTTACCACCAACAATTTCCTTACATTGAAATGCAGGCATTCATCTTCTAACTATCCATCCATCCTGCTCTCCTTTACCATTTTACTGGTACTATCTTCTTACCCTAGCTTCTTACAGAAATCTGGGCTTGCTATCTGCTAAACACCCGTTGTTTTTTATCCTTTGTTTTACATTTTTACTATCACTTATTGTTAGATACCCATTCGTGTATTTCTTCTCTTCTTATAGGACAAGCAATTTTTCGTTCATAAGTTATAACTTGTTTGTTAAGTTCTTTTATACAAAAATCCCTTTTTCTTTTATAAGGTAGTATCTAAATGAAGTGTTTCCTGTTAGTAAGCAGTGCTTGGTTTGGGGAGTAAACATGAAAAGATAAGTAATTGGTTTATACCCATTTGAATATTTGTTGCAAAGATTTGTTTCTAAAAAGTACTCATTGAAATTATTATCATACTTATTTATTTATTATTAATATTCTTAAAAGAGTGTAATATGTAATGGGTGTTTGTTAGGGAATAATGAAATTCAATGTAATCAAATGTATATATGTGATGTAAATCTACACCCAAGTCTCGCCCCATTAAACTTGAGCTATGCCACCAACAGTTATTCGTCCTGGAAGATATGCCTGATTAAACATTTTACACTCCTGGAGCTTTTTATGTGGGCAGAATCAGAATAGGGTTTCGCCCACTTGGTGGTTTAAAATGAAAGCAGTGCAATATAGATTTAGCCCCTTGATTGTTTAAAATGGAAACAGATTGATATAGATTTTATTCTCAATCTGGTAAAAAAAGAAAATTTTTAAGGGCTTGTTTTGTTCGGAGTTTTCAGGGGAAAGGAGAGAGGAAGGTTGATTTTTATTTTATTAATTTATCTGTATTTGTCAGTGTTAGACTAGAAATAACTACGTAGTATATGATTAGTAATACCATGCAGTTCAATATAGTTTTTTATTTTCACTTTATTATCAACAATCTGAATATAGAGATAATATGATAAATAATTGTAATCCCTCCCCTTCCTTCTATGGAATTTCCAAATCAGACAAGCCTTAATAAGACAACGCTTAACACTTGCATGCTAATGATTTTAGAAAGTAATCGACTTCTTATGCCATATTTGTAGGATTCTTGCTTTTGATGAGGCAGTGCATAGTTGCATACTCTTTGTTGGATGAAATAATAGCCCCCCTGACCGCCTGTGTTCTGAGGTATTGTGCATTAAGAGGCAGATAGTATGGGAGAATTCACTAAAGATGATTCAAATCGTATCATTGTAGAAAAGAATAAGAAGGGATTAACCTCAAACACTTCACAAAGCTCAACATCGCCTACCACGGTAATCACTATATGTAACCAAGTAGTCATTAGTGAGTTAAAGTTTAAAGTTGAAAATTTTCTTTCTATTTTTACTTTTGGTGTTTTATAGGTCGTTACCTAAGACTTCATTCTAAGGGGTCCTCTTCATTAATATGGTTACCTGAAATTACAGAAGTTATCAATACATTAGGGATGTGTTTGCTTCGCTGCTGAAAATACAGTTAGGTTAGTTGACAGGTGGAGTAAACATACATGCGTCTTAAAAAGCTGCTTACTATCCCAAACATGTGCTTAAAGTGTCAGTTACTAAACATAACACTCACATGTATCCCCTTCAAAAAAAACACTCACATGTATCAACTAAGCGGTAGTTTATGCTTTCAGTTTCCGCATTTACCCTACCATTGCCCTTTTCCCATACCCTTACCGTTAACCCTACCCCGTAGCTACCCCTACCTACCCCACCCCGACCCTACCCCTACCGGTCCCCCCATTACCCCTAACCCCCATCTCAACTCTCACCTGCCCTACCCCCACCCCTACCTCCACCCCGAACCCGTCCCCATACCGTACCCCCTTACCCACCCCCTACCCTACCCGTACCCTACCCCCCACCCTAACCCCTACTCGCCTACCCGGACCCCATTACCCCTTGTCCCCCGTACCTCGAGTAACTACCCCTACCCTAACATATCCCACCCCACCCCTGACACCCTACCCATGCTCATACCCCTACCCCTACCACCCCCCGTACCCTGTTACCCCTACCCCCTACCCCATTAGGCCCCCATCCTAACCCTAACCCCTACCTATTTTCATACCCTACTGGCCTGCCCGTACCCCCTACCGGCCCTACCCTTGCCCCCTGCCACGTACCCCGACCCTGCACCATTAATCCTGCCCCTCTTACCCCGAGTAACTACCCCTACCTCCACCCCTGACCTCCTATTACTACCCTACCCTACCGTGTCCCCCACCTTACCCTTAATGAGGGGCAAGATTAAGTATATGATGGATAGGGTAGGTGTAGGTGGTAAGCCCCCCACGTATTATATACTTGTACGTTTATATATGTATAGGGTAATTTTGACATTTTAATGTTAAACGGTGTTTAAAATCATGAGAAGTAAACATACAATGTGTGAGTGTGTCAGTGTGTGACACTTCTCATGCCCCCCTCAATCTAAACCAGAAGGGGTGATTTAAAATGTGAATAAACAGACCAAATTGACCCAATACTTCAATGGGGCTACCTAATGGTGGAAAACAAACAAATAGATCACAATGATACTAAACTTCAATGTCAAATTTTGCCTAATTCACCCAAAAGAATCCTAAATAGGTTAGATTTACCTCATACTTATATATATATATATACACACACATATGGTAAACATCTGGCCTTAATAAGAGTCACACCGGAGAGGCTGAGAGGGAGTCTTATTTGCAAGTAACTGACTGGTTAAATTCAAAATGGCCTGGTTGTCCACCTGAGGGAGAGTGAGAGCCCTACTCTGAAAATTTGTAGAGAGTGATTGGTTAATAACACTTTTGTTGAACTAACTAATAGATTTAATTCAATCTTTTAGTGTGGTTTGTCCCAAGTGTCCTATGGCTCAAGTGAGTGGCCCTAACTCAATCACAAATAATGTCCATGGAAACTTTATCTGATTAACATTCAATTTTATCTGATTAGCATTCAATTATCCCAATTGGCAGGAGTCTGATGTGCGTGAAGGCGGATTGCATTCTATTTCACGATCATTAAGCTTTCCTACCCAAGTTGGCTGTGCTGCGTGTCAGGGAAACATAAAATGCCTGACCGTCCATTTAAAAACAAAGAGCATGAAGATATCGATAGACAGAGGGAAACCTCAAGAAGTCCATGTTATACACAAAGGCCTAATAGAAGGAGGACATAGGCCGACTGTTGTAACCTACACTAATGTATTAGTAGCCTTGACTCTCCAGAAACGTTTCAAGTCCATTCCCCCGCTTCTCAGAAAGATGGAAGGGAGTGGATTAAAACCCGACTTGTTTTTCTTCAATGCCCTGATCAATGCCTTTTCTGAGTCTGGAAATGTCAATGAGGCCCTTAGAATCTTCTGGAAAATGAAGGAGGAGGGGTGCAAGCCCACAGCGACTACTATTAATGCGCTGATCAAAGGGTTTGGAGTAATTGGTAAGCCTGAAGAAGCTTTGAAGCTCTTAGAGAGGATGTCAATACAAGAAAATGTGAAAGCAAATGCGAGAACTTATAATGTTGTTATACAATCATGGTGTAACCAGAACAATGTTGAGAAAGCATGGGAAGTAGTTCATCAAATGGTTAAGAGTGGTTTGAAACCCGATGCTTTCACATATAACACAATAGCGAGGGCCTATGCACAGAACAATGAGACGAGCAGAGCAGAAGCAATGATTTTACAAATGCGCAATGAAAAAGTGGATCTCAATGTAATAACATGTGGCATCATTGTGGATGGGTACTGCAAAGAAGGCAACCTGGCAGATGCATTAAGATTCTTATACAGTATGAGGGATTTCAGCCTGCGTCCTAATCTGTATATATTTAACTCTCTCATCAAAGGTTTTCTAGACTCAAATGATGCAGATGGAGTTGACGAGGTATACTTGGAATTTAATATATTCGTACTCACAAGAGGATTAACAAGTGATTACATTACCCCCTCCCCCAGGTTCAGTACTTTCTTTAAATATCAACATTAAAATGCAATTTTATTAGTTGCACATGATAACTCATTTATCTTGTCATGTTCTATGATGTGAATTTTGATTTATAGAATATCAATTCCGCAACCAATCATGAGTCCGGCATAAATATTGAAACTGTGCTCTTTTTTCATGAAATTAGTGTTAATTAGTTATTTAGTTGGCGCTATATATATCACCGCTTATAGTGTCTGTTCTTGTTGTACTTTTCCCTAATATATTTTGCTTTATTTATAGGGAAAAGAAAATGTCCCTAAACTACATATGATTATTAACAAATATATCTCTCAACTTTCTTTAAGAGCAATTAAACACAAAATTGTAAAGTTGGAACATATATTCCCTTACAGGAGTTATATCCAGATAGTTTAGCCGCTTTAGTGGTATATATGTTCTCATATTAAGCTCAAGGATATAGATGTCTTTGGCATACTGAACAAGGTGTATTATTCCTTCTCCCTTATTTATGGGAAAAGTACGGAAAAGATATTTGTGGTTGGACCCGTTTTCAGATAGGGTCATGTGTTTCATTTTTTATCAAAGTGGTTCTTGTGTTTGAATTTCGTTATCACAAGAGGGTCACACTGTTAACGCCTGAGAAAGACGGTTGATAGTAACTCCGATTTTCAAAGTGCACGAAAAATTAAAAGAAAAATACCGGAAGGTGCGTCTCGTCAAGATGACCTTATGATATTTTTCTTTTGATTTTTCGGGCACATCTGAAAACCGGAGTTACTATTAACCGGAATTCAAACACATGAACCACGTTGATAAACAATGAAACACATGACCCTATCTGAAAACGGGCCCAGCCACAAGTACATTTTCCGTACTTTTCCCAAGTTTTATACACCTCACATGTCCCCAAATTACTTGTATGATTTTGGCACACCTAATAAACAAATGAAACTGTGTCCAAGATTTGTTTAAAAATGAAAGGAAAAAGCATCAACCTCAAGAGATAAACCTTACCTCTTGAGAATCAATTAAGGTGAGTTAAGCCTAATTGATTATGGTATCTAAACCTAATCCGATTGTGATTTCTTTGTTTCACACAAAGAGTTTGTGTTGACCGTTAGGCCCATATATCCACTCAAGCTGTTCAGCAAAAGGTAACTGTACTGTTTGATGATTTTCTTAAGGCAAGTCATGCCCAATTTAACGTTTTTTCAAATTGAAAATTAGAAGATAATTTTGTGTGGGACGAATATGTATATAGAGAAGCTAGTTTTGGAAGGGATGGAGTAATTAAACGTATTGATAGTTTATCGTATTTTGCTTTCATCTTGGATTTCATCCCTTATGATTTGTGATCTTTGTGAAAACCGAGCAGGCACTAACATTGATGGAAGAATTTGGAGTGAAGCCAAACGTGATCACATTCAGCACCTTGATGAACATGTGGAGTTCATCCGGACAAACAGATAAATGTGAAGAAATATTCAAAGACATGATCAAGTCTGGAATCCAACCCGATGACCACACATTCAGCATCCTTGCAAAAGGATATGTTCGTTCCGGACAACCCGAAAAGGCCGAATCGCTCTTGGAGCTAATGGCAGCCCATGATGCCTCCCCTAACGTGGTGATGTTCACAACAATAATCAGCGGCTGGTGTAGTGCGGGAGAAATGGAGCATGCTTTCGGATTGTACCAAAAGATGCTTCAAATGGATGTACATCCAAATCTTCAAACCTTTGAGACCCTTATTTGGGGTTATGGTGAAGCAAAGCAGCCGTGGAAGGCCCAAGAGTTGATTCAAAGTATGAAGGAAATTGGTGTTTCTCCTAGCAAAAACACATATAAGCTTGTTGAAGATGCATGGAATGCCGTTGGATTAACCAACGAGGCTAAACAAGTGTTGAATTATTATGATCATCACGAAGAAAAAGAAGCACAAGGGAAATTGAATGGTTCTCTCTCGAACAAACATGAAATCCCAAGATCTGTTATAAGCAACAAATCCAGCTCAAGAAGTTTCAGATTTAGAAGCAAGGTGATCATGAAGAATTGTGGATTTAAACTGAAGGCATTGGTGGTAAGCCCCATGCCAAAGCACGTTCATTTTGGAATTCATTGCTACATGTAAATATGTCATAACCTAATGGTTCATTTTCTCTGGCAATATATGAGTGGCATTGGTTAACTTCTTGAATGTTTTCTTGATTAAAATTGACAGAAAGAAACAAAGAGGTGAGAAATTTGGTAGAACCACAATTTGTTGTTTGTAGCAACAATAAAGTTATGAGAGGCCACATTAGACATTATTTTTGAATCTCATATTGGTCATGTTTCATACGGATTGAACACACTATGGTTAAATGTGAATTTCGATACTATGGTTACATGTAAATCTCATATTGGTTATTAGGGTTTTAAATTATTCAAATAAGTACAATTTTAATGTTTTTTGGTTATTTTTGGACATTCACTAATCACTAATAGAAATCGTTAATTACTCTCATTTTTCATTTTTTGTGTCACTAAACTACGTAATAGTAATTGATGTAATTAGTTTTAGAATATATCATTCAATGTTTTAATTAAGAATATCTCATATTTAAGATTTTAAACTTTGAGTAGAGATACATAAAAAACACATTTTAACATGAAAAATAGGAATGAATCTTGGACGTAGAATCGTAGATATGAAGGAATCGTACGATCTCCATCAAATATTGTTGGGTGATATGGTGAACTGCACGTGAGCAAATTATTTCCTTCAAATCTTCAATACCCAAAGTTGTAACCCTGCACAGACTTAAACTCATCTATCAATTAGAAGCCTTTGCTACTAAACCAATAATTAACACTAAAAAAATATTAAAATTACTCTGCAATAGAAAACAAACATATAAATCGGTTTCCCCATCCCCAACAAGGAAATAATAGAAAACCTAGTTTGTCAAGATACTAGAAATAACTAGAATCCTCAATTTGACCAACTATTGAGAAAAATTGTCAATATCATCAATTTGACCAGCCGTCGAAAAGAAGATCGAATTGAGCAACTATCTTTCTATCATAGCATAACGGTGGTTCATGAGGAGGACAATAATAGAGATCTCGTAGTATATAGTTAACTTCCCAAAAAATCAAGCATTATCACACACCAACAACAAAGTTTGAACACCAAATCGGTTCCACCGACAAGAAATACACAAACTCTAGACATCGTTACGAAGGAACCACATAAAATAACTTGAAAATACCGATTAAGGGGATCTTTTTCATCTTTGAAAATAATTGAGGTGAAGAGAGGAGGGGACCCGGGTATGATTTTTACCCTTTGCCACTCACCAAGAGAGAACTATATCTAATTATATATTCTAAATCTAACTACATCAATTAAGTTAGTTTTAGTATAACAAACAAATGAAAAACAATATTATCGTGGATAAACTCAAGAATTCAATTTGAAAAGGTATATTGTGGTGCATTTATTTGCCGATTGATATTGTGTCTATTGATGAAACAAGATCAGACGTTAAAGCAATGTTTGAAGTATGTAGATAAACTTTGGAAATAAGAGTTTCATGATGAATCGAAGCAAAATAAAGTATATGGAGTGCAGATTTGGTAAAGGTAGAAAACTAGAAACAATGGGAATAATAGGACTACTTGATGGTAAGGATATAGGTTCCATCACCTAGGCTCCATAATTCACAATAACGGAGAATTAGATGAAGATGTATCCCAGAGAATAAAAATAAGGTGGATGAAATAAAAAGTTTCAGAATTTCTATGTAGTCGAGGTATGTCGACTAGACTGAATGATAAGTTCTAGCGGACATTAAATGAGTCTGCATTACTCTATGGTGTAGAATGTTGACCAATGTAAAAATGTCATATTCAAAATATGAGTATGACTAAGATGCGAGTAAATCATGTTGAGTTCGATGTGTGAACACGCTAGAAAAGATCGCTTCAGGAATAAAACAATCGAACAAAAGATGAGAATAACACCTATTATAAGAGTCTTAGTTGTTGTGATTTAACCATGTGTGTAGAAGACCAAATGGTGCTATTTTTTAGGTTGAATGGGAGTATGACTTTGAAGATAACATAATTAAGGTATAATACACACTTAGGAGAATTGGAGGATTGATCACTTTTCATCTTTTCTATCTTTTATCCTTTTATCTTGCTTATGTTTTTTTTTTTATCCTTTTTATCCTATACTATTATTATTTTTTCTTAACTTATCTTATCTTTTTATCTTATTTAACTAGAATTTCATATGGCAATTCATGTTAGCGAATCTCATACTCTTTTGCGACTAAGACGGATGTTGTTTTCGTATTTAAAAATAGTTATGATCTGAAATTGGAATGAAATAATTCTCTATATAAGAGTTTAAGACCTGCGTTTTCAAAAAAAAAAAAGAGTTTAAGACCTGCTAATTGAATCATTTGAAGTACTATTTTCTAGAGCCCGTTTGGTAGCACGAAAATCGGCTGTTTTGGCTGATTCTGTTGAAATTTATAAAGTTCTGGCTGAAGTGACTGCATTGGCTGATTCTGTTGATTTAAGAAAAAAATATTTTTAAAATATATTTTATTAGTAAAATAAAGAAAAAATTATATGTAAAAATAACTCAAATGGTCATCTACTATAACTTCAGCCAATATAGTTAGAAAAGTAACTATAACCTTACTTTTTCTGTTTATTACATAATTCAGCGCGCGAAAGAAAAAATTACGTGTTTGATGAAAAAGTTGGCTGATAAGCCTGGTAAGTCGGAAAATAGTGGTACCAAACGGCCTCCTAGTTTCTAGAGCCCTACTTTCCAAAGTTGAAAAAAAAATGACTAATCAAAAAAGCCGAAAAGTAGATATCCATAAACAAATTGATTGAAGAATTATGCATGGAAACTCAACCAAATCAAACCTAAAGATGTTTTTACTTGGATTAGAATTTTCTGGTCTGGTCTTGTCTTGTCTGATTTCGTCTGGTTTTATCTAGTCTGTAAATGTTTGTCTCTGTATATTTTATAATTATCCAAAGTCCAGTATGGTACTATGGTCTGATCTGATTTGATCTGGCTTAGAACCAAAAACAGTCCAAATAAAAACATTCTAAAATTAACCAAACAAGTTAAAACCAGGTGAAAATAGCAAACCAAAATCGACCGAAGCAACTTAAGCAAGTCTCTATGGTTCCCAGTTCTTGGAGAAGAAGAATGAGAGAGGAGGTATTATTCCATCTGGACGTTACAAACAACCACCTGACTTAGTAGTTGGGCCTAGCCCATCTACAATGCACAATTAATATTTACAACAGCTTACTTGCTTTTCTTCTAAAAAAAAGTGGTTTTGAAAAAAGTTTGATAGTAAAAGTTAATAATGATTGAGAAGAATGTGTTTTTGAAAAAAAATAAAAGTTGATATTGCGTAGTGTTTTGTAAATTAGTGCTATTAGGTGTCTAATTTAAGTAGAAATTATCAATGGAAAACATTCAATTTTATTTTTTTTAACTAAAAGCTTAAAAACACTTTAATTTTTTTTCAAACACCTTAAATGTAGTCAGAAGTCGGAATTGTCCTAGATCAACAAAACCGAATCGCTTACATCTCATACAGTTTAAACCGTGATGTGATTATAATATTATGAAAATTATTACAAACTTTATACTTTTGCAGAAGTACTGCTGATAAAAATATACTCCGAATATAATTAATCAAATTTTCAAAGATGAAAATGTTTTTAACCGGACTCTCTTCTCTCTAGAGAGATGGGAACTCTAGCGGTGTCTCCCCTCTTTGTAGGGGTTGATATTTTCCGCCACCTCTATCAATATGAGATTGGAAAGACAAATTATATTAATATTAAGTGTTCTAACGCTTAGGATTGCAACTACGTTCAAGAAGATATTAATGCCTTTGTATTCATCTACTATGTATATTGAACTATACATGTGTTTTTTAGCAGGATTTCAGTCCGGATTGTTTAGGTACGAATTTGTCACTTTCAAATTTAGCGAATCATATTGATTTGTATGATTAAATCTGTAAATTCTGTCTAAAAATTGTTTTGTATGTATTCTCGATTTTAGGATAACAGCCACTCTTTTGATCAAAAAAAGATGACGCGTTGCTGGATTATAGAGTATCAATTTTTTATTTGCTGAATTTGAGCTTTTGTTAGTCATTGAAATCTCTAAAAACTAATTTTACATCTACAAAAAAATTATGGAAGTACCAAATAAGACCTTGACCAATACTAAAAAAAATAGATATTCCTCTTTGGACCTTATATTATACTATTCCTCCAAGCTAACTTGGAGGAGTTGGAGCTCGTTTTCTGCCAGTGCTACTTATGCAATAGTAGTAGTAATAATATTAATAATTATGATGAATTCTAAAATAATAACAGTAATAATAATAATAATAATAATCTGTAACATCACGACATTATGAATTGATATATACCACGTTGCGCTATTAGAAAATTATTTTTTCATAAAAACACATACACAGTTAACATGTGTTTACATGTCACAAAAGCATTCTTTAATCTCACAAAACTAGTACAATAATGTTATCACATGATACTTCATCGCTTTATCCTTGTAGCACAGAACCAAACCAATATATCCAGATGCTGCCAGGGAATGCTAACATATTCAAACAATGATACTGCACTCTACAGGTTTATATTTCTTCTGCTGCGAACTTGCCAAAGGTTCCGTGTTTCACTTTTCCCAATCTCAAGTGGCTTCTTATTCAGACTAAGATCTTCCAATCTCCAATACCTTTCCATCAACAACTGCCATTTGTTAGTTGGACATGAAATAATTAGACTTCAAACAGAACAAAGGGAATCAGTTCTCCAAGGTGATTTAGCTTCAAAGAGATTCAGACGCAAATTACCCATTTGAATGAGATTCATCATCTTCCCTTGCGAATTTTCAAAATGTTATTCAGGGAAATATACAAAAAAACCTTCAGCTACCATTTGAGTGATTAGAAATAAGTGGATTGATAGCCAGATGAATTCTAACATCAGCTCACTCCATTTGAGAACAGACTTTAATTGATGACCAACGAAATCTAGTTTTCTTTGGAAATGTTTTATTATGTATATGACTATATTCTCCGTATATGTTCTTCAAAAAAAGCTAATACTCCGTATAAATACAGTAAAAGTTTCCATCAGACATTCATCAAAGCGTTTTCCATCACAAATAAATCGGAATTAGCATGGACAATTGTAACGCATCATCGGAAATATGTTCAACTAGTTCAAAACATAATAATACGGCAAACAACTAAAGAGAATATTTTGAAAAATTAGGCATGGATATAATGTAAAAAAGGATCAGCAAAAAGAAATGGGAAAAAATAGCTCAGATATGTTATTGAAAACAAGTTTATTCCCAGACCTACAAAAGGTCTCATAATGAGCTGGGATTATA